TCAAAATTGGATTCTGAAATAGCATTGACGCATATCCACTAATTCGCCTCTTTTTCATTTTTATTAACTATAGTCCTCGATATAACGAAACATTAATTAAACTTTTACTAATAGTCCGAATACTCCGTTACATCGAGGTTGACTGTAATAAGTACACTTTGTTGTTATGATAATTGGCGTCATTATCTTTCTCTCATTAATACTTCCGCTTTTGGGAGACGCTAAAGCAAGGTGGTCATTAGAAAATTCATTAAGATAGAAATGCTTGCATTGAGCATTTTTACTTTCATTCATTTTTTTCTATACATGGCGACGATATAAATAAAAAAAGGGGTACTTTTTCATGTATTGATTGTCGTTTAAATCCCTAATTTGCCATTTAGAATCACCCTTCATGAATGTCACAATACATGTTTGCAAAGTGGGTAGAATATAATGTACCCCTTGTAGTTCTGGTCAAAATAGGCCAATTCTATCCCTTTCTATATACCTCTTGCCGAACAGTGTATCCCCCGAGTACAAATCGGATTTGGCTGTGGAATGTAACATATCCGGAGTATTCCACAAATCACCTGCCAAAAAAGCTGGGGGTGTTTTACACGGGGGTACTATAAAGAACGCTTTACGGTAACTAATTTAAAATTAGATTCAAGGTCGAGGTTGGAGTTAAAGTTAACCGGGCATTGTAAGTAAAATTGCCTTCCTGACATTTTTTATTAGTACCCCAAGATAGGTTTAGACATTTGAGTAGAATGTAAAGAACGCTTTACGGCAGTAGTCATCGTAGTGCAATCGGGTTGGTCAAGTTCGTACGTTATACTTTTGATTTCTTGGGTATATTATCACGAGATACTACTTCTTGCTTTAACAGGAAGTCTACGAACAGTGCTTAGGAAAAGAGCTGAATCACGTGTTCTTTTCGGCCCAGTGCCGAAATTTTATAATCGCCTTTCTGATATTTTTTATTAGTACACAAAACTAGATTTTGGCATCAGTTCCTCGTATTTTCTGGATTTACTGGTTTAAAACATATCGTCAAGATCGGAAATGCTCGTTTTTCGCTTGACATAAGTGGCGCCGATCCGATAATATTAAATTTTAATTTATATATTTATTAATTATTGCTGTGCCATATGTGACTTACTGCACCATGATTATCCACTTTTGC